TGGGTGAGTGGAAGCTCGAATCCACTAACTGTAATCCTGGATCCACCTCTGTTGCACATGAATTCTTCTTTCATTTCTTTCTCGCTTAAGCCCTTTAGCATTTCCAACAGACTTTGGTTGTTACTGTAAACTTGTTGAATTAGGAGTAGTTGTTAAGAACTTTTCTCATTTTGGTTTCCAGGAGAAGGTTGGAGCAGCTACTGAAAAGAATCAGGTAAACAAGGGGCCGAGTTCACCCCATGATGAAATTCTTTTGTCTGATTTGCTTGATCTGAAAATTAGATGGCCAACTGAGCTGGAGACAGACAACACTATTACAAATAAGAAGCTAGAGCAAAGCAAAAGCTCTTACAGTTCGACTGTAGTCGACCTGGACAACTTCCTTTCTTTTACAAACATATCCAGTGCTTACAGAGAACAGACAGACATAAGCGATAATATTGGGACTGCAGTAAATAAAACTGATGGAAGTCATGAGGATCTTAGTTTGTTTGAGAATCTCAGATCCTCCGAACGGGCTGTGACCTCTGCTACTGTCCAAACTACTGATGACAGATCCTCTGAACGAGCTGTGACCTCTTCTACTGTCGAAACTACAAATGACTTTACTGGATGGAAAGCAGATTTTCAGAGTGCTGATTCAGGAGAGGAGAATGTGTCTAACAAATCTATCACTCCTATAGGTTCTGCAGGTCAGCATGTGTTTACCACATTTGGCACCTCTATGAGTTCCACAGTTAGTTCTGGAAACCAGCAGGAGGGTTCCAAATCAACTGATACTTTTGTTGGCTCAGATATTGATCTTTCTGCTCAGTTAGATACGGTTTTTGGAACCCCAAAAGGCCCAATAGACAGAAAACTGACGGATGTTGCAGCAGTTTCTCCTGCAGCTAATGACTGGCCGGCAGTTGACCTATGGGATATTGCAAATTCGGGAGCATCGCAAAATGCTGGGGAAGTTCTTCCAATTGTGAGACCTAAGGATGCTGAATTACAAGATAGTTCAAATGACCCCTCTACTAGCATTGATTGGTTTCAAGATGACACATGGCAGACTCAGAATGCACCTGCACCTAAACATGATGCAGCAAATGGAGATCATGATTCTTTTGATGAGTGGGATACTTTTACATCTTTCGCACCCATCATAGATCCTTTTGAGAATGCTCCTGCACCTAAAAATGATGCAGTAAATGGAGATCATGATTCATTTGATGAGTGGAATACTTTTACCTCCTCTGCACCCATCAAAGATCCATTTGAGAAGGCACCTACACCTAAACATGATACTGCAAATGGGGATGATGATTCCTTTGATGAGTGGAATACTTTTACCTCCTCTGTACCCACCAAAGATCCATTTGAGAATATTCTGGTGCAAAGCGACAATGACAACAATAATAATAATGCAGAACTAACAAATTTCAGTTCAAACCTTGAAGATATGGATTTTGGCAGTTTTTCGCAGTCGGATCCTTTTTCAGGTGCACCTGTTAAAGAGGCTGTTTCTGCGGAAGTGAATGACAATATTTTGGAAGTTCCTACCATATTCAGGTGTGTTCATATTTTTATTATTTTTGTAATATGGCTGATTTAGGAAGACTTCTTTTGATTAGTGGAGATTCCGAGGAACATAGGCGTCAAATATTGTTCTTATACTATGGTTGGGGCGAAAAGAGGAGGGGCTGGAGGATTGGCAGAAAATCTGGGGATTAGAGTAAGGGAGGCGAAGTAAATTTAGAGGGGTAATACCCCTCCACATAAGATTTTCCGATTTGGACAGAAGGGAGGAAATAATTTGGATTTATTTCCTTCTATACCAAATGATTGGAAGTAAATTATCAAAATCTTACCTTGGGGATATAAACCAATAAATTTCTCTCTTTCACTCTCCCTCTCCCCTTCCTGAAGCCAAACATAGAGTTAAGGTAGAAATGGAGGAATTAGATCTTAACATAATGAAAATCACAGAATACGAGGCAAAGAAAAAGCAATAGAAAAGAAAGGAGAATCTGGAAGAATGCAGGCTTCAACCATGGCTTTTGAAAGTAAAATAAACGAATTAAATCAAACTTTAGTAAGAATCACAGAATATAAAATATTTGTAAAATGGGAAAAGAATCAAAAAGTATGAGGAAGGAGCAATGCAAGAAAAGAATATAGGAAAAATACTGCAGTATCCGCTGAAAGTTCCTTGGAGAAGGTAAGGGTACAATAAGCTTAAGACAGTTTTGAAGTTTTATTGGTTTAACTTTGTGCAAATTTTGAGAAAGTATAAAATTCAACTTTGTGCAAATTTGAGACAGAAGAAAATAGGAACTGACTATTGATTGGTAACTGTCTTTCATCCTGGAGGTGCAAGGTCCGATTCTCACTAGACCCCTCTTCCCCTTTCACCTACCCTGTGCCTCCCTCGCCTGAAAACAAGAAATTCACAGAAATGGAAAAAAGATGCGAACGTGTTCATTAAAGGGTTTTTCATTTGTAATGACTTGGAAGTTGAAAGGTAGAAGTTTCTGGAAGAGGAGGATTACATGGGCTCTTTTGGAGCTGAGAGAGGAAATTATTTCCGTCTTCCCAGGATGAGAGTTACGTGTTTCCTTGTCCCAGAGAGGTAAAATCACAACATTAACAAAATGACTCAAATCCAACCTAGTTTTGAAAAAAAAATAATCAAGAGATATTATAGATATTTCCAAGGTGATTGACTCGATAGATCTTTATTACTCCTTTTGTTTCAATTTAGATGACACACTTTCCTTATTAATCCGTTCCAAAAAGAATGACACATTTCTACAATTGGAAATAATTCAACTTTAAACTCTTCATTTTATCCATTTTACCCTTAATGGGAAGCTTTTATAACCACACAAATGTCATGGCCCCACAAAGTTTTTACCCCTTAAGCTTTTAGGACCACAAGTTTCAAAAGTCTTCTTTTTTTTTCTCTTAAACTCCGTGCCGAGTCAAACTGCCTCATCTAAATTGAAACGGAGTGAGTACCTATTTATCCAGCTATCTTCCTTGAAAAAATAACAAGTAGCTGTTGACTAACTGATGCTAGACCTTAAATTGATTTTCTTTTTTATTCTGGAGATTTCATGAGAGCAGAGCAACTCAGCCCCTGCTCGCCCCCAAAAAATGGAACAAAAGAGAAAAAAAGAAAAGAAAAAGAAGGCACATTTGAGAGACTAGATTCGATCTGTGTCTGTTCATATTCTAGTTGTTGTTTAATTGTTTGCTCATTAAGATCTATTGTTCTTGAGATAGATGTTACCTTGGGATTTGGCTAGAGTATCCAAGTTGCATTTTAAATTGACTATTGTTCTTCAGAGGGGTCAACTTGGGGACGCAGGGCAGTAGACTACCTGAGAAGAAGCAGTAGAAGAAAGAGATCCAGAGGTAGATGGAAAAGGGGATTTTAGCTAGTTGGCAAAACAGAGATACCTATGACCTCTTTTATTTTTGAGAAGAAGAAAAGAAAAGAGAGGTACCTTATGACTTCCCTGATGTATCTATTGAACCATTTAGGGGACTATATATAATGGCTGACAATGTTCACTAGCGATACTGGAAAAGCTTATGTCTATTTTGAGATATCTACACAATATATTTCAATTGTGATTGTAGATGAAGAATAAGAAACTGAGAAATACTTAGGAGGCAATACTTGGAGAGGTTGCCATGTAAAATCATGATTGTGTGCATGTTTTTTTTTTTTTTTTTTTTTTTTTTTTTTTTTTTTTTTTTTTTTTTTTTTTAAACTTCCTAAATATGAGTTCAATCAACAATTTCTTACATTTCATTTAACATCTTTTAGTGCCGTTGATACTCCAAGCAAGGTTGGTGATAATGCTGGACATGCTTCAGAGAATTCAGACATTCGTGGTGAATCGAATCCATCAAAAAATGATATGGATATAGAAGGTATAATGTCGCAGATGCATGATCTTTCTTTTATGCTCGAGACCAATCTATCCATTCCCTCGAAATCTAGCATTTCTCTTCCCAGGGATTGATACCTAGATTTGTTCACTTGGTTAGTCTTCAAGATTTATGTAATCAGGTCGATCCTGTTCATGTATTTTATTGTTAGAGAATATGATTGTTTTTGTAGTTCGTTATCTTAAGCCAAGATCCTGTTCCGGATATCTTTTTGTAACCAAAAGGAGACGAGTTCTGTTTTTCGATAGGGGTAAACAAATGAACCTCCCCACATCCCTAGAGTAGCTTTCTGGTCACGGAGTTTGCGATGTATTGTTTATGGACCACTTTATGAGATACATGTAGGAAGATATATAAAGATCAGATTGTGTTACTACCAAGATTTTCTTGTGGACTCTTCTGTAAAGATCAGATGTTTTCTCATTTTCAGAAAGAAAAAAAATAGATTGCTTTCTTACAATGATTTTACTATTGACATACGATTGGAAACCACCTGAATGCAGTAGTTTGAAGAAAATGAGACAAACTTCGTTTGGCTGTTCACAATGTTCCTTTCTGCAGTCCAAGAGCAATGTGGATGAAATCATCAGACTTACTGTGACGTTACTATGTTCATTAACTATAGGCCTTTTTTTTCTCCATTTAATCTACTCTACATGTTGGCCAGATATTAAGATTAATGGAAGATCGAGATGGAACAATATTAGTTTGGTGAATTACCATTCAAGCTCGAGGGAGAAGGGAAATATGTATAATCTGCTTGAGATCCAAAATCTTTTTTGGCACTTCAAATAAGTCTGCAAAAGTGCGAAATGAAAATGGCTGAAAGTGGTCTTTAGATTAACTCCCTTGGTTGATACTTTCTCCTCATGTATACAGGAAAGACATTTTAATTGCATTAATCATAAGAATATATTCTAAGCTGCCTTTATCTCCTCCTTAAACGATTCATTTAATTAGCACAATGGGCAGATTTAGAAAAAACTGGTATACAATGTAGCGCACCAGCTAAGACAAAACTATCAGTCTTGACAAAACTATATTATGCAAGAAGTTTTCGAGCTTTTACTGTTGAAAAGTTGAAACATTTTACGCCTCATTTGGCATCAGCATCCTTACGAATAATACAGTTGAAGCACAATACAAAATTCCAAATGAGCCAACTGAGGCTATTTGCTGTTTCATGTCCTCTTTTCCTACTAGTATAGAGGATAGAGTTGTATCTATGTTTACCCATCTTATTACTGTCTTGATCAGCGCATTATCTGGACATATAACTGCTGCAACATCGTTGAAGTTTCGGTGTCATCCTGCAAAGCCATATGCAAAATAAACAAGTACAGTCAGACCTCTCTATAACAACATCCTTATATAACAGTCACACTATAAAAGCCAAGTTTTTTTCGGAACTGATTTTTATGTTATGTTATAGTATATGTCCTCTATAACAGCACTTCACTATAGCAGCCAAAAAATATCGAAACAAACGAGGCTGTTATAGAGAAGTTTGAATGTATACACATGAAGTTGTAATAATAATTGAGAAAGAGCTACATAGGCGATACCAACAACACAACAACAACAACAAACCTTGTGTAATCCCACAAGTGGAGTCCGGGTGTATAGGCGATAGCATATTAGGATATTCTAATAGTAGAAATGCTTAAGAAGATGCATCATCTTTATTTGTGTGTAAATAGAAGGAGAGAAGATGAACTTACACGAAGCATGTCCATAAAGGTGTTGTCGAATAGCTGACAAGGAATTTGGCTTCTGAATGCATCAGATGGCCTGCATTTGAAAGTGGATCAAACAACAAATTCAAAGAGAAATATAACAGAGAAATTGCAATTATGAAACCTGAGCAGCAGGGACAAAGATGTTTACCTGACGAACCTTGATACTTGTGAAAGACAGAGATAAGACTGTATCACATATCTTAGCAGCAGTATACAGGGTTTTTGAGAAAGTTTCTCTACCACTCGATGCAAGACTTGTACTATAGAGTAAAACCGTTCAGCTAACGCACAACAATAGCTTAGTCCTTCCTCTTGCATCAAAATTTTCATAACTATGAGTGTTGCAACCTGTGCAGACATAGAACGTTAAACAGTAAAGTAGTGTTAACTACCGAACATCCAGTCTTGAAGAAAATTGAAAAAAAAACAAATGCATGAAATGAATGAGCGACAACAATGGAGAGAGCACGCGTGTATTTGTTCAAATGGAAGAATACCTTTGTTAGAGAACCGATAACACCCAAGCTGGTGAGCCTTATAAACTCCAAAGGCTTGTCATTTCCATTTTTTCCATTAGTCTTGAGAAATGGGTAAAAATAAAATGGTATTTTAGCTGCAAAGAATAGTTACTAGATGAGTTAACTGTGTTTCTCAAACAACAATAGGAAAACGATTTGTAGTTAAGAGCAACAACAACAACAAAAAACCCAGTGAATTCTCACAAGTGACGTCTGGGGAGGGTGAGATCAATGCAGCCTTACCCCTACCTTAGAAGGCAGAGAGGCTGTTTCCGGAAGACCATTTGTAGTTCAGAGCGATAAGAATTATTGACAAAACGCAGAAAAATTAGAGTTTGAGGAAAACTAGAGCATTAAAAGGGTATGAAAAGCTTTGCAAGCATGATCTGCATGCTTCACCACAAAAATGATCACGGAACGAACATCTCCCACTTATGTTTGACAAGAGTGGGTTGCTCTAGTGGTGAGCACCTTCCACTTCCAACCAAGAGGTTGTGAGTTCGAGTCACCCCAAGAGCAAGGTGGAGAGTTCTTGGAGGGAGGGAGCCGAGGGTCTATCGAAAACAGCCTCTCTACCCCAGGGTAGGGGTAAGGTCTGCGTACACACTACCCTCCTCAGACCCCACTAGTGGGATTATACTGGGTTACTGCTGTTGTTGTATAGTAATAGAACTTTATTTTGAACCATTATAGAGATGAAGCACAAGCATAGAATGAAAATGGACTGCAGCAAGGAGATTTGTTCCTCTACTCATTTATACGAGTATTTTGGCCTAGGTTTATATTTCATTCAAATTTGTATCATTTCAAGAACTGACATATATTACCTTTTATGAGCTCCCTTCTTGTTTCTTGGTGATTTCCCATACACTGCAGAATACAACCATAAAAGAGTAAGGTGGATGCATATCATGAAGTTGTAAAAACTGGTCTCAAAAATAAGTTATGGCAATGATATCATCAAATTTATTTCATGACCTCCCCATCCTATCGACTGAACATCAAGGGAGCCTTGGCGTAATTGGTAAAGTTGCTGCCATTTGACCTGGAGGTCACGGGTTAGAGTCGTGGAAACAGTCTCTTGCAGAAATGCAGGGTAAGACAACATACAATAGACTCTTGTGGTCCGGCCCTTCCCCGGACCCCGCGGGAGCTTAGTGCACCCGGGCTGCCCCTTTTTGAGGCCATGAAAAATATATTACTGTCTTATCTGATACTACTCAGCTGAACTTATATACAAAAATTTAAGGTTATCTCTAATGTGTTTCACTCGAGGCATAGAAGCCAAGAAAATAAAGACTTCACATCTCAGATTTTCTTAAATTACAGATTTCCAGCGATTCCATGGACTAAAACAATTGCAGCATAAAGCACATTGATCACCAAATCAAACAGGTATTGCATAAGTGCATAAAAGAGGTGCATGTCTAACACATAATTTACTACTCCCTCCGTCCCAATTTATGTAGCGAAACACGAATTTCGAGAGTCAAACTTCTTAATTTTCACGGTGAGTTCGGACATAGAATCTTTAAGTTTTTTGAAATAAAATTTATATATTTGGAAACTACATAAAAATTACTACGAGTCACACTAATTAACAATTTAAAATATCTAAAACGCATATAAAAAAATTACGGTCAAAGAAAAACTCGTTTTACTTAATGAGGGACTAGTTCATTTCTGACCTGAAATAAAGCAAGGGCATTACACACTCGAGTTGACTCCTTAATAGATACCATTGAGGTTGACAACTTTGGGTACACTGCTATCACTTCCTGAAATTAAGAGATAAATTAGGTATTGACAACTTATAATGTCTAAAAATTTCAGCAAAACAATTAAAGAAAATTAATTTGACATTTGTTGCTGAAAGTTACAGTTGATGGGTGGAGGAAAATTATAACTCAAAAGAAAAATAAAATTAATATGCACAATAATCTATTTCTCTATTATGAAAATTATAGGTTCAACTTAAAACTTAAATATTCATTATCCAACTGAAGTTAGCTAGATGAGTGAAAATTAGAAAGAAGTATATTATATACCTGTAAAAGTATGAAGACTGCATTGAAGGTGTTCCACAACAGCAAAGGTAGCTCTGTGCATGTTTCTCGCTTCTGAAATAATAAGAAAAGTTTAGTTACCCAAACTTAGATATATGTCACAATATTTTCTAGCACTTTCAAAAGGTAACAGAAAAAGGGTCTAGGGATATTAGTTCACTGCACGTGCTTAATGCAGTTGCAAAATCCTAATTGCACAAATAAGAATTAGAGGATATTAATTCCTGAAATAATAAAGTTGGTTAGAAATTATAAATAATAATTACAATATAAAACTAAATTTATGTTATTAGGCCACAAACAATTGAATTAAACCAAAATTGCCTAGTGGGAATTGCAATGAAGTCGAAATACACCATCATCACCAATGATTACCTCCTTAGCACCAGTGACGGACCCACTATTTTGTACAAATAAGTTCAATCAAAAATTACGGTAATCGATTGTATAAGTGCAGCCGTAAACGAAAGCCCTTTGTGCAATGCTCTTTTTTGTTCATCAAATCAATCAAATCACTTCAAAATGAAGTCATTTTTCTTGAAGGTATTATAATATTTGTGCAATGCTCTTTTCTGTTAGTGTCAAATGGGTTCAGGTATTATAATATTTATGAGTTGCATAATTTTTTTGATGAAATTCCAAGGTAAAAATAATTATTTTTTTCAAAAAAGTGGGGGCCCTTCCTGCAAGGTGGGTCCGCCCCTTCTTAGCACCACCTTGCAACACTGTGTTCTTATGACAAGTAAAATGATTGTTTTCAAATTACCATTTTACCGAAATGTAAATAAGAAAAAGCCATATACAAGAGGTGAAATAACTTATAGCCCATGTATCATCTACTATTTTTAGGATCTTCACTCATAAGGTTGTGGTGTGCTTTCTTTTGTGGATCTTAACTAATGGATGATGATGTTAAGGAACACATCATATTTAGATGATTTGTATATTTCCTTCTTGTAACTATAAAAATGTTTTCATATCATTTTGAATACCAGTCTTTATGTTATATTTCTCGTTTGTTTGATGAGGAAAAGATAAATAATTGTGTTGGATCCTGCTTAAGAAATTGAATCAAGAACTACTTGTTGTCATATATAGAAGTGACATTACCGTGGCAAATTGACAAAATTAAATAATTTTTTTAAATAAAAAACATAATATAAAGTGGTAACTTGCAGACTAACTAGGGGCCTACTTAGGGATGAATTGGACTAGCACTTTGCAAGCCCTTTCAATTGAGGATTGGGCTGAGCTCGACTGTTGACTTCCAAAAAAGGGATCTTTACTCAAATAGCCATCCATATTCATTATTTATTTTTTCTAGCCATATATAGATTATACCTTGATTATACACAATTATACACATATACAGTCAGACATCTCTATAATAGCATCCATATATAACAACACTTCACTATAAAAACCAAGCTTTCCCGGAACCAATTTTTATGTCATGTTATAATATATGTTATCTATAACAGCACTTCGTTATAACATCCAAAAATATTCGGAACAAACGAGGCTGTTATAGAGAGGTTTGATTGTAATATATAAATTATACATATATTATACCGCCACCGACTGTTTCTATTTTAAGTGATTGAATATGCAACTATTTGAGTTAATTCTTCTTCCAAAAAATTGCAGACACTTTTTGAGGTGGTCTTTAACTTTTGACGCCGCTTGCCCCATGGGTAGAATTTTGAGGTCAAAAGTTAAAAGTACTGTCCAAGGGGCAAGCGATGAATAACACTTGTTAAACTTAAAGTTACAAGCATGGAGCAAGCGGGCTATTTCTGTACTTCAACAATTGAAATATTCTATAACCCGTTAGCCCGTTTTGACATCTCTAATAAAAATAGAAAACATTCAACCATATCATTCAATGTGGATTATAGCGATCATTCAAAAGAGCAAAAGAAGGGCATGAAAGACAACACAGATGAACTTCCTTTTACCTTTATATATCTCTCATGCACACACCGCGAACAACCACAAAGTAGAGGACAAAAACACACAAACAAATGGATAAACAAAAACTAACACGTACTCAAAATGCATATAAACACTTAGATAAAAAAGATTTAAAACGTGTCACCTTAGTTAGTTGATTGATAACCTCTTCGCGAAGATTAACATCATGTAGTAATAACACCAACTGTTTTGGGGTGGCAGAAGCCAAATCAAGAGCCTCATTTTTCTGTGAAGAAGAAGAAGAAATGTTGTTGCGAGGGGGCAGCGTTGGCGATGATGTCAATGTAGTTTCAATAAACAGTGATACTGGTAGATTCTCCATTTAAATTTCTTATTAAAACAAAACTTTTGCTTTTGAAAACCTTCCAAATGAGAAAGAAGAAACCAAATGAGGGGTCTGAATTTTCTCTAAGTGAAAGGAAAAGAGTTGTTTAGTGTTTACCTTTGAAAGAAAATGAAGTAGCAGAAAATGGAATTTATAGGGGTGGAGTAGGTGATGTGCTGGGGTGGTTTTGAATTATTTTTTTGGTCATGCAGATTCATGTAATTGGAGGAGAAAGTCTAGATTTAGTTAGTAGTTAATTACTATTCAATAACTTCCACTTTAAATGATATGACTCTTTTTATTTTACATAATTTCAAATGTTTGATACTCCTTTCTTTTAAGTAAGAATTTTAAGTTTTATATACAAAAAAGTAAAGGATACATATTTACATAATCAAGTAGGTGTAACTTTTAAAAGCCAACTAGATGTTGTTTATAGTAAAATATTACTAGTATCTATAGATTAGTAACTTTGAAAAATTAAAAATGAAAGTAATAGTAATAATGGGTTATACCTATGGTTTCTTGCTCATACTATTTAATTTTCTAAGAATTAGTTTAATCTTTTACCACTACCCATATATAACACTTAATGTTAGTAAATTGTGTTTGAAATAAATTCTCTAAAAAAATAAAACAAAAACAAGAGGAGAATTAAAATGTTCCGATAAAGAATTTAATCCCCTCATTGTTGCCCGATGTTATTAGATTTCCTCCTAGGATATAACGGAATAACTATTCTATAATACCGGCAATGAAAATTATTTAACTTTAGCGAACTCAACAAATCACACCAGACACTTATATTTTTGCTTTGAAAAACTATGCAATATACAGAAGAGAGAGGGGAGAGTGTTTTCAGATTAGAAATTACCGTTGAAAATAATAAATTTAAATCGAGAATTTTACTAATAAAATTTCACTTTAGAAAAAGGAGGCGAATTTTACTATATTAATCAATGCCGAGCAAGCGACGCTCGACGATGACAACGTGAGGTACCACTTCTTCTCAACTCTTTTAAGAGATAGAAGATGTGCTTTTCTATATAAGCACAAGGATTTTCTTTTTATTTTCCGATGAGGGACAAAGTGTCTTAGTAGGGGTGGCCGCTCGGGCAGTTTGGATTGAATACGAAAATTTTGGTTTGGAGATTCGATTTTTGGATTAAATAAATGACAATCCAAATCCAATCCAAATAAGCTCGGATTGGATCGAATTTTTAAGACGACTTTGAATTAATCGGTTTGGACATTTCGAATTTTCGGTTTTGAGCATATAAGTTTAGATGTTTCTTCTTTTTCTTACAAAAATAAACATCAAAATAAAGTATTCTTGTTGATTACCTAAAAAGTTCATCATTCTCGCTGCAATCATCTAAATAAAGTATTCAAGTAATGAAATTATTATCAAAAAAATATAACAAAGACATTAATAAGGCTGATAAGAAGTAACAATAGTAAAAGTATGTCCAAATAGAAAATATTCTGACAGTAACTTAGTATTAGTGTTGAATATATATGAGATAATATCTAATGAGTAGGGTATTTGACTTATTACTATTGGCATATGGATAATGGACTATATATAAAGTATACAAAATTTGAATTGTCGGAATCCACCAATTTGAAGTACCAAATCCAATATCCATTTCGAAATCCAAAATATTTAAAAATTAAATCCAAAATCCAAACCAAAAATCGAAAAAATTTGGATTTCGATTTGGATTTCGAGTTTGCCCAAAACTATGCGCACCTCTATGTCTTAGTAAAAGAAACAGTTAAAACTTGTTTCCCTCCATTTTCCATTCACATCTCTTTATTTTATTAGATAAAACTCCTATACTTAAATTAAATTAGAATTTTGAATTATGTGTTCAATTAACACCCGTTGTACAAAATGGGACGAAGGGGTTTAGGAGGTAGATATTTTGGATTATTTAACGTATTTGAATGATCCAACTCTTGACCATTTATTTTTTTTTTTTTTT